TGTCATAACTAAAGTATCCAGTATAAAATCGCCAATCCTACCCAGTGGGTCGTCGTTTATCCGTTCCAGGTACAATTTGTAATTCATACCCATTTAAACGTTTTATTTCATTCGAAGTACATTATCGTTAATCTGCTTGCCCAAAATATCGTTACTTTGTTCCAAGTAAAATATCGTTAATCCATAAATCATCCATCCAATCCCCAGTAAATTATTGTTAATCATTGCCCACAAAAAAACATCACTAACCGTTACCAGTAAAATATCGTTAGTCTATTTCTAGTAAATCCTCGTTAATCTCTTTCCAGTAAATAATTATTCCGTTCCCAATAAACATCTGTAATCCGGCCTCATTAAAGTATCATTACTTCTCCAGTTTAACATCACTAATCCGTTTCCACCGAAACATCGTTAATCCGTTCCTACTAAAGTTCCGTTAATCTTTTCCCAGTAATTCGCCTTTCGACCACTACCAGTAAACCATAATCAGTCTGCTAGAACATTTTCAATCCATAAATTATCGTTCATCCAGTCCCAGTAAATTATCGTTAATCCTCTCTAAGTAAATGATCGACATAATTAAATTCGCATGGATTAAGGACTAATCGATACGGAGGAATTTACCCTTGTATACAGAAGCACCAACTAACAACATCGTAAGAAATCCCACATTTCTGGGTAAGTGTTTTCAAATAAGTATATAGACACAACCTAAATAACAGTAGCCATCCACCAGGCAGCATTTCCAGACCACCGATTTTTCCCTGGAGGCTTTACCAACAGTAATCGTCCGGCGGGCGAGATTTCCGTAACTTTCTGTTCTATAATCAACGGCAATCATCCAGTGGGCGCGATTTGCGTAAAAAATTTCACTACAGACATTACAACAATGAACGGTTTCCATACAATCTGAAGGTTTCAATAGACCTTAATTTTTAACTTTCACAGTTAGTTTAAAGGCCAGGTTTTAAGTGTTGTAATTAAAGACCGTTGGGGGACAACGGAGCCAGGCGTGGTATGAGTCACAGCCATTAGTCTACAGCTTATGTCAGCACATAGTGAAATGCGGAGGTAATATATGCTTATTATATACCCTTCTCCTGCTGTGATGGCGTGAGACCAGACCATTTCACGGTGGAGTTCATGGGGTTCAAATTGATTGCGTGATTGGGGTAAACTTTAAATTAACTTTTAAATTTTTGAATAGAATTTCTCAAACAGGATAGGCCGTTCGGTGTTCTTTTTGTAATCGTGAAAACACTGAATTTCAAATTCTGGATTGATTTTTACGTTGTTAGTTGTGTTTGGTCTTCAGCAAACCATGCTTGTTGTATGAGGCGACTAACGGGATCGGGTGGTCAAGCTCGCTGACCAGGCTCACTGACTTGGTTGATGCATGTCCTTCTATCCCAATTGCTAAGATCGATGGTCATGATGATCACTGTATTTCTGGTCCAGACTTGATTATTTACAGATTTATTAAATATCTAGAATATTGCTGACTGCGGCGTTAAACAACAAACAAATGCACTGTGTAAATATACCGATTGCATGTCATCGTACCCCAACACTTTCTCTTGTTGCTCATAATATCAATCACTGGATTGCCGGTCAAGATGATCGATTACATACATTCACGCAATCACCATCGTTACTGTAGTCGATTCACGTCGCCGGAAGTTCAACTCTCAAGACAAACCATTGACCGTGGGAATGTACTCGCTTGTCACTATGTCTCAATCAGACGATCCATACTACAAGCGATGCGTCTATCTATATTTATAATCCGCATTGATTTATGGATTCACTGACTGTAACTTCTCGTTAACAAACCCATACGATTCCGAGTAACGCCATTCAGTTCATGAATGTGTACTGAGTCGTCACAGGCCATTGGACACGGAGATGAGCCGAGAGAACCAACTCAGGTGACCGATCAATTCTTTGCGAATGAGTGAACCTGGATGATTTAGGGGCACGCTTTAAACCTTTACTGACAAACGGAGCAAACACAAATCAAATATGTTTCATTGGCTTTTTCCTATTTTAAATTCGCAGTCACACGCACGATAGAAAAGCATAAGGGCCGACCAGTGACCAGCCCAAGCGGATGAAGAATTGAGAGTAATCTCCCTTGTTGTGGCAGCGATGGACGACTGTTCTCAGAGTTGTACCTTACTATTTTGCCGGAATGGTAACGAATGTGTCATCCGCTGTACAGAGCTTGATCTTCCAGTCGCACCATACGCTCAATTTTCCTCATTTAAAATCTTTCGGTCAAAATATATCATTTGCAGGGAAAGATTTATGATCAGATTGTTCAATTACATGAAAAGAGGATTATTAAATAGAGATTATTACACAAACAAGTGTGTCATACAACTTATACGAAATGAGTGTGAAATTTTGTAGGTGTCGTATGACACACTTGTTTGTGTAATAATCTCTATTTACGTAATATCTCAAATACAGTTACCAGCACAAGCACACAACCAATGGAATGTGAGTGGGTGAGTTTAGTTTTACGCCGCACTCAGCAATATTCCAGCTATATGGCTGCGGTCTGTAAATAATCGAGTCTGGACCAGACAACCCAGTGATCATTGATTCAACAGCACAATGCAATGTGACCAGCAAAGCAAGTTTCAGTTTGGTTCAATGCCTTTCAATTGACTTTTGGTGTTGGTCCCATCTCTTCACACCTTCACATGGCTACAATGTTTAAAGCCCATCTCTAGTGTCCGTGATATTGCTAAAAGCGGTGTAAATCTTGTCTCGCTCACTCTTCAGACATCGAGCCGCAAAGGACATGTACACAAAAATCAAGTGTATCTTTAAACATTTAAAATAAACAGCAACACTGCCTTCTACCAAGTCATGTACCAAAAGAAGTTGACATCTTAAAATGAGGCATGCATTTTTATTCTTGACTCTGCGCCGAATGCTCTTGTTCGATCTCGAATGTTTAGAGATTAACTTCGAAATAAGGGTTCCATTGGTTGAACGACTATATGAGAATAACACGCAATTTGGGGGATTACGCGACCAAAAGACATTATGTAAAGAACACCCTTCGAAATAGTGAGTTTAGTTTTACGCCGCTTTTAGCGATATTCCAGCAATATCACTGCGGGGGACACCAGAAATGGGCTTCACACATTGTATCCATGTGGGGAATCAAACCCGGGTCTTCGGCGTGACAAGCGACCGTTTTAACTATGCTACCCAACCGCCCCTCTTTCCAAACAGCATAAGGACTTTTATCATGCAAGTGATATTAACATGATTATGCGTTCTATTTATTTAAATTTCTTAGACAAAACCACACAAAAATCCACCAAAGTTGTCTGCAAATCTATGCTTTCATCTCGTCCGATGACGCAATAGTGACGTCATTCAACAATCAAAAAGTCTTTTAAAACTGATTACACATTAAAGACTGTAGAATTAATATATTTGTTTTTTTATTTCCAAATGCCCGTATTTCATTGACGTGTAAGGAAGAAATGTCCATTATTCAAAAAGAAAATTAGGCTACTACCTATTAACCTTTGTGATAAACATTTCACAGTCAGATTACAATCAATGAAACACTGAACCATAGGCGTTGCTTGTAGTCTTTGTAAAGACTTCAATATACAATAAATATATTTTTCCATGTTACAGTCGTTCAATAAAACCATTGACGACATAAATCCCACAGGAAAATAGTCGGAATTGATGCGCGTTGCCATTAACAACGGCCACATACGCAATTAGGGAGAATTTGTAAAGAATGCAATTAATTAATTAAAACGATACGAGACGAACGGCGAGACTGATTTTAAACAGAAATGCCCAGTCTCGTTGTGACTGTCAGTAATATTGAGAGGGTTGGCAACAGTAAACAAAAAAACAGATTACGGAAGTCTTTGTTTATTTTTTAACGCTCAACTTTTATCTTATCGGTTTGCTAAGTTACGGGTTGTTGAGGCGATTGGCCACAGACACCTGTATTATTAATGGAACCTAGGTCAGGAATCATTCTCCAAAACGTCTAGTTAAATGTGCAGACTGGATTAAATAATATATGATATTGCTCAGCCGACTCGCACCGCGGCGCCGACTTTTCAACCACACAGGTGTCAAAGGGATTTCGCCTTGACGCGAGGTTTGCTACCATGGTGAGGGGTATGCCGGTGTAGGGTCACTTACATCCCTGTGAAATATGACTACCACTGCGCACTTTGCTAACGTTGGCTATACCACACTTCCATGTCGTCTTGTTTTAGAAATGAATTCGCCCAGCTTGAGATATTAGTAACAAACTTGTATTGATATTACAGTTGAGATACATCGCTTTTGGTACACCTGATCACGTGTGTAGGGTATATCAGTACATATACAAATTCACAATTCTTCATATCGTTAAACTGGAATATGCTTAATCAGGTTTAGTAATATATTTACAAGTCGCATGTGGATTAAGAGTTACAATTATTAACAAGCTATGCTGGTGGTAAATAGCGACCTAAACATTTAGTGTCTTAGTTAATGGTGTGTCTTCGTATCCTGACAGTGTGGGTCGATGTTCAGTGTATCAATCCCTTGTTCTGCTCCAGACTCGAGTATATATATATATAAACCAGTCATGTAGCGGTAATATTGCCGACCGCGTCTTTAAATAACAAGCCAAATTATATCTACATTTAAAATACAAAATAGTTTTACTTTTTACAACCCAACACGCAAATACAGTTCGGGTAAAATTGAAAATCCTTCTGGTCAGTACATACGTGGACGTTGTTTAATGCAAATCGTCGTGAATAGGCCCTTACTACGCATGTGATATAAAAACATAAAATTGCAATAAATTTTATAATGATATTTTATTAGGAAAGTAGTTAAATATTAATTAACTATTGATCGAAATATTTAGAAAACCTTGTAAAAAATTCAATTATGTCCATTCCTCTTCTGTTATAGAAGAAACGAATGTTCCGGGGGAACTAATTCACCTATCACCGGTTTGTGATACCTGTGGCAATCGGCAAAGTTTAAAAGTGATCAGCGCCGTCGATACAGGTGAGTGTTTGTGTTGTTTATTTGACATCGCCGTACCCTTTGTACGTAATGTACTCACAGGTATAAACGAAGTAGTCGTTCTGTTGCCATGGCGATCGATACAACGTTTAGTGAGTTTTGGTGTTTGTTGTGCGTCAAACCAACATGACCAATCAAGCATTCACCGTTCAGGTCAGGAAGGTATGTTACCTTGATTAGGTCGCCGAGGTTTGCTAAATCATGAACTAAACTCACCTGTATCGTGATAATTAATATTTTCCAGGTACTCGCGTGGTTTCCATTTATTCACACGAATGACATAAATTATATATTGGCTTTTATATGGGATTTTGTAAAAGGAAAAAAATAGATTTATACAGGCAAGTCAAGTTCAGTGTCATGAATCGTATCAGTTTCAGTGTTGATAAGTATTCTGAACAAATAGATAGTCTAAATGATATAAATAGTTTGTCGTTATACAGAATGTTTCACCATGTTCTTAAAATTGTGTTATATTATTAAGTGGCAACAATCAATAGTTTTTCTTGCAATGGATGATCTGTTGTTGTTGTTGTTGTTTTGGTTGTTAGCTTGTTGTTGTTTTCCTGTTGCTGCGAGGCTATTGGCGAAAATATTATATAGTAGTTTGGATATGGGTGCACAGACTTAATCTCCACAAACTTATATCATGTTGCAAGAAGACCCAAACCTTTTTTTAAAAATTAACAACATATAGCTAACTGCTTAGCAAAATGTATCAAACTGTAGCAGCTGTAGGAGTTTGCTACAGTTTTCTACTTATTGTAAAGGTTAACCACTTCACCCATCCTCTATACTACTACAGGGCGATGGGGACCGCCTCCGTGGTGTAGTGGTTAGAGCGTCCGCCCGGAGAGTGGAAGGTCGCGGGTTCGATCCCCAACTGCGTCATACCAGAAGACGTTAAAATTTGGTACTTGTTGGTCCCTGTCTGGCGCTCGGCATTAATGGGTACAATAAGGACTGGTCGGCTCGGAGTCAGTATAATGTAGCATGAGTGGGGTATTCATGCTTCACTGCGGCATGGTATCTCAGTGGGCTAGCACTATAAAACCAGCTTAAGTCTGGGCTAGTACAAGCCGCCGCACATACACATACACATGCATGCACGTCGTCATATGAGCGAAATGTTCTCAAGCAAGACGTAAAACCCAATTTCACCTCACTTCACAGGGTGATGGGGTAGCCTAGTGGCTACAGCGTTCGCTCGTCACACCTGAGACCTGGGTTTGATTCCCCTCATGAGTAAAATGTGTGAAGCCCCTTTCTTGTGTCCCCTGCCGTGATATTGCTGGAATAATGCTAAAAGCAGCATAAAACTAAACTCATTCACTCACTTACTCCAGTTCGCTAACTTTGTTAAAGGATGTTATTGTATCCCAACTGTGCTGGAGAAACTCATGATGCTAATAACAGGTTGTCATACAGTGGGAATATTGCTGAGTGTAATGTTAAACAACAAACAAACAATTAAGCATACAAATTAAATTGGCCTTCAAAGTTCATTAGGGTAACATGAGGAAGTGTCTTACATGAAGGAAAGAAGCAGTCAAATCCTATCATGGTGTCTTAATCCGACAATATTGTAATAACAAATAACTGAACCTCTCAACCTCACTGTGGGGCGGTGGGGTAGCCTAGTGGTTAAAGCGTTGGCTTGTCACGCCGAAGACCCAGGTTCGATTCCCCACATGGGCACAATGTGATTAGCCCATTTCTGGTGTCCCCGTCGTGATATTGCTGGAATATTGCTAAAAGCGGCGTAAAACTAAAACTCAGTCAGTCAGTCAACCTCACTGTAGTGTTTTTTTATCGTAAGAGGCGACTTATAAACGGGATCTGGTTGTCATGCTCGCTGACTTGGTTGACACGTCATCGTATTCCAATTGCGTAGATCGATGCTCATGCTGTTGATCACTGGATTGTCTGGTCCAGACTTGATTATTTACACACAGCCGCCATATAGCTGGAATATTGCTGAGTTCGGTGTAAAACTAAACTCACTCACTCACTCTTTGTGGTTGCAGCCCAACGTGTAATCCAATTCAATCATGGCGTCTTATCCTGACAATATTGAACCAAACAGTAACTAAACCTTACAACCTGACTGCTGTCTCTTGTGGTTGCATCTCTTGTGCTGACAATATTGCACCAAACAGTAACTAAACCTCACAACCTGACTGCTGTCTCTTGTGGTTGCACCTCTTGTGATGACAATATTGCAACAGCAAATAATTTAACCATACAAGCTCACTGCAGTCTCCATGGTTGCAATAAAATGTGTAGTGAAACCCTATCATGGTCTGTTACGCTGACAATATTGTAACAAGCAGCAACTGAAGCTGACTGCAGTCTCTTGTGGTTGCAGTTAAATGTTTAATCAAATCATGATGACGATATTGCAACAAGCAGTAACTAAACCTCACCAGCTCATGGTGTTCTATTGTGGTTGCAGTACAGTGTGTTGCCAAACACCATCATTATGTCCTAATCAGACAATATTGCAACAAGCAGTGACTATTCCTCACCAGCTCATGGTGTTCTATTGTGGTTGCAGTACAGTGTGTCGCCAAACACCATCATTATGTCCTAATCAGACAATATTGCAACAAGCAGTGACTAAACCTCACCAGCTCATGGTGATCTATTGTGGCTGCAGTACAGTGTGTCGCCAAACACCATCATTATGTCCTAATCAGACAATATTGCAACAAGCAGTGACTATTCCTCACCAGCTCATGGTGATCTATTGTGGTTGCAGTACTGTGTGTCGCCAAACACCATCATTATGTCCTAATCAGACAATATTGCAACAAGCAGTAACTAAACCTCACCAGCTCATGGTGTTCTATTGTGGCTGCAGTACAGTGTGTCGCCAAACACCATCATTATGTCCTAATCAGACAATATTGCAACAAGCAGTAACTAAACCTCACCAGCTCATGGTGATCTATTGTGGTTGCAGTACTGTGTGTCGCCAAACACCATCATTATGTCCTAATCAGACAATATTGCAACAAGCAGTAACTAAACCCCACCAGCTCATGGTGATCTATTGTGGTTGCAGTACAGTGTGTTGCCAAACACCATCATTATGTCCTAATCAGACAATATTGCAACAAGCAGTAACTAAACCTCACCAGCTCATGGTGATCTATTGTGGTTGCAGTACAGTGTGTCGCCAAACACCATCATTATGTCCTAATCAGACAATATTGCAACAAGCAGTAACTAAACCTCACCAGCTCATGGTGATCTATTGTGGTTGCAGTACAGTGTGTCGCCAAACACCATCATTATGTCCTAATCAGACAATATTGCAACAAGCAGTAACTAAACCTCACCAGCTCATGGTGATCTATTGTGGTTGCAGTACTGTGTGTCGCCAAACACCATCATTATGTCCTAATCAGACAATATTGCAACAAGCAGTGACTAAACCTCACCAGCTCATGGTGATCTATTGTGGTTGCAGTACAGTGTGTTGCCAAACACCATCATTGTGTCCTAATCAGACAATATTGCAACAAGCAGTGACTAAACCTCACCAGCTCATGGTGATCTATTGTGGTTGCAGCACAGTGTGTTGCCAAACACCATCATTGTGTCCTAATCAGACAATATTGCAACAAGCAGTGACTAAACCTCACCAGCTCATGGTGATCTATTGTGGTTGCAGTACAGTGTGTCGCCAAACACCATCATTATGTCCTAATCAGACAATATTGCAACAAGCAGTAACTAAACCTCACCAGCTCATGGTGATCTATTGTGGTTGCAGTACAGTGTGTTGCCAAACACCATCATTATGTCCTAATCAGACAATATTGCAACAAGCAGTAACTAAACCTCACCAGCTCATGGTGATCTATTGTGGCTGCAGTACAGTGTGTCGCCAAACACCATCATTGTGTCCTAATCAGACAATATTGCAACAAGCAGTGACTAAACCTCACCAGCTCATGGTGATCTATTGTGGTTGCAGCACAGTGTGTTGCCAAACACCATCATTGTGTCCTAATCAGACAATATTGCAACAAGCGGTGACTAAACCTCACCAGCTCATGGTGATCTATTGTGGTTGCAGTACAGTGTGTCGTAAACACCGTCATTATGTCCTAATCAGACAATATTGCAACAAGCAGTAACTAAACCTCACCAGCTCATGGTGATCTATTGTGGTTGCAGTACAGTGTGTTGCCAAACACCATCATTATGTCCTAATCAGACAATATTGCAACAAGCAGTAACTAAACCTCACCAGCTCATGGTGATCTATTGTGGTTGCAGTACAGTGTGTTGCCAAACACCATCATTGTGTCCTAATCAGACAATATTGCAACAAGCAGTGACTAAACCTCACCAGCTCATGATGATCTATTGTGGTTGCAGTACTGTGTGTCGCCAAACACCATTATGTCCTAATCAGACAATATTGCAACAAGCAGTAACTAAACCTCACCAGCTCATGGTGATCTATTGTGGTTGCAGTACAGTGTGTTGCCAAACACCATCATTATGTCCTAATCAGACAATATTGCAACAAGCAGTAACTAAACTCACCAGCTCATGGTGATCTATTGTGGTTGCAGTACAGTGTGTCGCCAAACACCATCATTATGTCCTAATCAGACAATATTGCAACAAGCAGTGACTAAACCTCACCAGCTCATGGTGATCTATTGTGGTTGCAGTACTGTGTGTCGCCAAACACCATCATTGTGTCCTAATCAGACAATATTGCAACAAGCAGTGACTATTCCTCACCAGCTCATGGTGATCTATTGTGGTTGCAGTACTGTGTGTCGCCAAACACCATCATTATGTCCTAATCAGACAATATTGCAACAAGCAGTGACTATTCCTCACCAGCTCATGGTGATCTATTGTGGTTGCAGTACAGTGTGTCGCCAAACACCATCATTATGTCCTAATCAGACAATATTGCAACAAGCAGTGACTATTCCTCACCAGCTCATGGT